CACATAACAACAAAACACTTCCGGTTTGAAGGATTTCATTTACTCTGTCACTGTATTTCTGCCCTGGTTGGCGGGACAGAAGCGCTCTGGCTTATGGGATAATATGGGAAGTGCCACACTATATAAGAACTAGGTGTTAATATATGATGGGTTACAGGCCCAATACATCATATCAGAGCTGCCGTTTCCCTGCTCTACAGTGTCCAGCCAACTCCAGCCTGGCCCTTCCTCCATGCCAAAGGATTCCACTATCTGTGTTTTTCCCAAAGTGTTGGGCTTTTTTTAAGAGACACAAATCTTCTCTCTTCCCCCTGCCCCACATTTCAGCCCCCAAATCCACTGTGCCTGCCTGACCCCCAAAGCAAACAGGGAAATCGCTGCCAACCAAGGCCCCGGAAGCAGGTCTCACCAGACATCACCACAACAAAACTTTTTCAAAACAAGGCAGGGACCCAGAAATGCAGCCGCTGGGGAAATAATGGGCGGTGGGGGATGGGACAAAGCAGGGGAAACCCAAGCTCTTGGGGAATCCCAGCTGCTCTCTAAGCCCCCCATATTCATAACCAGCACTCCAATAATAGGGGGCTTCCCCCCACACATCCCTATGAACTCAGCTGCTTCCACACACCCACCTGTCCCAGTGACTCCAATTTTACACACACCACTCCAGAGAGGGGGGTGAGGGGAGTAGAGACACCCCAGAGATAAATGGGGGTTCTGGATTTGGGGAAAAGTCCATATTGCTGGATTGGGGGTACACACTTACCATCCATTTCTGCCAGAAGTCAGGCTAGGTCCCAGGCTGGGAATCAAGGAGGTACGGGGGTAGGGGCTCCCTGGCTGGAGGGAGTCAAGGAGGGGGGCTCCCAGTTTGGGAACCAGAAGAATCCAGGGGATACTAGGCTTGGGGGGGGGGGGCTCCGCAGGCTAGGACTGGCCCCGGCGTGGGGGCTCAGGAGATAGACTCCAGTCCACAATAAGAGCGTGTGCGAGGTCGGGGGTGTCTCAGTACAACAGCGGGTCCCACCCCGAGAGGGGGGATGTAGGCGCCAAGGGGATGGGGGCCTCTTTGGGGTGGGGCCCCCACTGGGGAGGATTCTGATAGGGAACGGGGGGGATTCTGACTCCTGCGGGGGTCCCGACCCCTATGGCGGGTCCCAGCCCCAATCGGGAGAGGGGTGCAGCTGGGTATGCCCCGGGGAGTCTGTCCGAGAGGGAGCCCAGCTAGGGCGGGTCCAGCCCCTCGAAGGGCTCCGAGGCGGAAGGGGGTTCCGGCTCCAATCGAGGGTCCGAGGCAGGGGCGGGGCCGGGGGCGTGGTCCAGGCGGGGGCCTCCGGCGGGATCGGGTCCAGGTGCCGCTGCTGTATCCGTTCGCAAACTACGCCGCACGCGGAAATGCCCGCTGCACGTGACCCGCCCCGCTGCTGGGAAAGCCCCGCCCACTATGCAAATGAGCGGGGGATTCTACGCAGGCGCGGAAGCGAGGGATGGAGCAGGGGCGAATTCCACACCAGCGAGGGAGAGAACGAAAAATAGAGAGAGGCGGCAAGTACCAGGCAAGGCGTCACAGGGCCACATGGGACCCATACGCTGGGTGTCATGTGACCATACGGACTTGCGTGTGGGACACTATTAGGCTATATAGGCACTAGGGTGCAGCACTTAGGCTGGGACATTATATAGCAGCAGTTTTCAATCAGGGGTCAGCGTTAGACTCACTAGAGCCCAGGGCAGAAAGCCCAAGCCCAAGCCCAAGCCCTGCTGTGCAGACCTGAAGCCCGGGGCCCTGAGCTCTGCCCCCTGGGGCTAAAGTTGAAGCCTGAACAACTTAGCTGTGTGGTTTCAGAGTAGCAGCCGTGTTAGTCTGTATCCGCAAAAAAGAGAACAGGAGGACTTGTGGCACCTTAGAGACTAACAAATTTATTAGAGCATCAGATTTCCCCGTACAAGAGGGCTGCAGTCTACAACAGCACA